ACAGAAGGGTTATGAGGTTGGTCCCAGGGACCGAGCCCAGGCTGAAAGAGTTAAGCTGTCCTATTTCCTCCCACTCTTCTGGCAGGTGGTGATAGTTCATTCTGACAATTCCACTGTTGTCAGCTATATCACCAAACAAGGGGGAACCAAGTCCTGGTCTCTGTGTTTTCAGACACTCACCCTCTTGTACTAAGCTAGGCACACAATTACTTGAACCATCTTAGCATGACATGTTCCTGGAATTATGAATCTGGTGGCTGACCTCTTGTCTCATCCCATCCATGTTCTACCTACAGAGTGGTCTCTTCATCCTTAAGTATTTCAGTGTTCTTGCCTAGGAACACCACATATAGATGTGTTTGCCACTCACTGCTTTTAGGTCTCCTGTTCCACACCCCTCAGCTCTGGTGGTTCATGCATTCAGTCAGGATTAGAGGAGCCTTCATCTATAAGCCTACACTCCTCTCAGACTAATCTCCAGGGTCATTTCCATCATCCAGATCACTCCTTGTTGTGTTTTGCTAGTTGCCTTGTATTGGCTGGCTCTTATTGGAGCAGCAGCACCTGCCATTTCCTCTGTCAGGGTCACTCCTCCAACAACTGTGATCAAACATATTTCATCTAGGCATCACCAAACTCCATCTTCATACATAGCATTTGTCTGGTCCCTCACCTCAGCTCAGGGACTCACTCCTCATGTAGCATCTTTCCTTACCCATACCATTTAGCCATCCTCACTGTCCATGTACCAAAAATGTTGGTCTTCTGTTAAATCGTGGTCCGTTCATCATGGCTTTCCATCCTTCCTGTCCTTCTATTCCTCATCTATCCCAATTCTTTACTTGGTTATTTGATCAGGGTTTGTACGTGTCAACAGTTGCTAGTTATTGGGCTGCTATGTCAACCACATTCCATTTCTCTGGATTCTGTAAAGCTTTTGCCTCCCCGATTATTCTCCCTTTTCCATTTCTTTCATCTTGTTCATCCTCCACATCCTATTGTTCTTCCAGATTTGGATCTCAGTGTTGTTCTTCATGCCTTGTCTGGTTCTCCCTTTGAACCAATTGCTATGTTTTCCTTGTACCATCTTTCCCTTAAGACCTATTTCCTGCTCCTCATGGCATGTGGTCATCATCATTCTGATGTTTATCCCAATAATGTTCCCCATATCCTTTATCATTTTTCTTACATAATCCTTTATCCAGATTGGGCCCTCCTTCTTAAGACAGCTGCTGCACTATCTGTTGACAAGGGCTGATTCTGAATTATCAGACAAAATTTCATCTTGCTATTTATTTATGATGCTCTTCCTGTTTTTGTTGGTTTTTTTAAAGGGAAGATCGCTCTGGTTGCAACCAAAATCTTCGACAAGACATCAACAGACTTGCTCCAGTGTGCCCCAGGACTCTTCCCTTAGCACATAATTTTTCAGGCTCATTGTTAGTTGCATACTAGACATTTTGTATGTTCACTCTATTTTGATTGAAGTCATAGTTATATTACACTGCTTCAAAGCTAAGTGCCTTTCCAATAGGTACTTACCTATTCTCACCCTTCCTCCCCACTGATATGCAGGTGTTTTAATTTGTAATTGTCAATTCTCGAAAGTGAGGATTGTGCTAGAATAGTAGACGGAGCTACCTGTGCTAGTATAGGTGGCACAGTATGATTGGTGGAGAGTAGTCACATGATATGCACATGTTGTGAAATGACACAAAAATAAAGGGGTACAATAGAGTGATGCACTATTAGCGAAAAGTTTTAAGCAATGCTTAGAGGGCAAATCAAGGTCGAGATAGCTTGTGAGATACACGTGAGAGAGATATGTATCTATCAGAAAATACATTTTCAGTGTAGGCATATGTTAACATTATTTGATTTATTAATTTATTTGTAATTAAATGTTGAACCAGAATCTTTAGATTAAGAGAATTCTTACACTTGTAAATTGTATGGGAAAGGGGGATCACGAAGCATTTCTACACTATCAATATGAATGTCTTTCTCTTGCATCATAGCTTCATCCAATGCATTAGTATCTAGTCTTGGAGACAGAAACATAAATGTATAGTTGTAGTAAAATATCAAAAGCAGTAATGCTAATGCTATTTTTTCAATGTGTAATGACATTAAACAATTTAACATTAAGGTGTTTGTTAAATCAAAAAAATATATATATTATTAACAACTTTAACAACTCACTGTAAGTCATTAAACAACTGGACATCAGCAAAGCTTTTGACAAGGCCTTGTATAAAGTGCTACTCATCAAGGTTCTAAAGTTCTCTGTTCAATTCTGAATCTATTTTTTATCCTCTTGTTACGTATTAGAATTTCTAATGGTCTGAAACTGAGCTAAATGATACTTTAACTTTAGTAGTGAAATTGTACCTTGGATTTAGCAGTTAAGTAAAAACCGATATATAGTCAGGTTTGTGATATTGGCCAACAAGATTGATACACAGTTTTCTTTCTTAACACAAATATATTTAATATACACACAGCAATATAATTTACAATAACAGTTATTACAAACAATGATTTATATACAAAAGTTTCACAAACTTACAAGCAATATAAGGTCTT